TAGTCTCCACATCCTAACCTTTTACAAAGTAATATCAGTGTGCATATTCTCCATGATGTTCTCCATACATTTTGACGGCATACATAGATGACACCCTGTAGCTGATAACTTGGTGTATTTTGTGTATTGGTGTCTGCTGCAGATATTGGGTTATCATGTCAACTTCACATGCTATTGTATATTGACTGTACACTCTCAACAAATCAGAGTTTTCACGGTAGCTTTAATGTAGAATAATACCTGTTATTAACTTCTGGGTTAAATACTTCATCACAGGTTGGTCAGATTTCTCTCATATCATGACTGGTCATCACCTGTTCAGTGCTCCACTCACCTGCTCTCTCCTCTCCAAGGCTGCTCACCAAATTGCTTCATCCAGAATGTCCGTATGTAAACATCTATTGGTGCTGCTCAGTTTAATGACCAGGCTGGGGGTCAACAAGGTATTAAACAGTGAGAATGTAAAATAATGTATTTTTGTCCTCTCCAAACACTACATTGTGGCGAGAAAGGGTGATTTATATTCCCTTTTTGCTCCTGTCCCCATTGTACTTTCTCATGTTCTTCTGTTTAGGGGTTTCATCAATTACTTTTTCTGTGAGGGACCTCCCATGGTGCAATAGGTGACTGGGCTGTTAGGCAAAACTTTTACATAAGAGTCTGAATAGATAGCCGTAAGAGGTGTCACAGGCAGCAGTAAGAGGTGTTATAGGCAGTGGTAGGAGGTGTTACAGGCAGCAGTAAGACGTGTTACAGGCAGCGGTAAAAGATGTTCTAGGCAGTGGTAGAAGGTGTTACAGGCAGCGGTAAGAGATGTTATAGGCAGAGGTAGAAGGTGTTACAGGCAGCAGTAAGGGGTGTTATAGGCAGCAGTAAGAGGTGTTACAGGCAGCAGTAAGATGTGTTACAGGCGGTGGTAGGAGGTGTTACAGGCAGTGGTAAGAGATGTTATAGGCAACGGTAGAAGGTGTTACAGCCAGCGGTAAGGGGTGTTAAAGGCAACAGTAAGGGGTGTTAAAGGCAACGGTAGGCTGCCAATAACTGGATTTTGAAACCCCTGCCTCTTCCTTCCATACTATGCCCTAATTTAGACCCTTGTCTCTTCCCTTTTATTCCCTCCTCCTTTTCCCGTTCCCCGTCTTTGGTATCTTGGCATATCACTACCCCCTTGGCCTAGAACTACAGATTGCAATTATTTCCAAAGAAGGTTCATCAATGATCTCCTCTTAACAAATCATCTCAATGTTCCCTGAACCTTGTAGTGCAGATTCTTAATTCTCTTTGTTTCCATTTTAAGTGTTTTTTTCTGTTCCTAAGATTGGCTTGGATGCTAGAAAAGCTGAGGATGTATCATCAGTGTTCATTCCTAGAACAGTTGAGTTTCTCAGGCTGTATGTTGCTCTGCACTGGATCCTTGAACAAGCTGTCACGCCCACGCCATCAAGTTCTGTGTATGTACATCAGTTCTGCTTGCTTTAGGTTTTTCAGGTAGCAAAGTTTACATAATATCTCTTCAGCAATCGACTAACAACAACTCTTCACTTGACTCTGATGATGACTTCCACTCAGGTTGTGAAAGCGTCAGTCATTACTACCGACAACAGTCCCTCTCAGGACTACACTCACCCAGACAATCAGACTAGCACGATGAATATAAATACGAACACGAACAAAAGAGTGGACTCGTTTTCCAAAAATAAAGAGTAATAACAAAGAGTGCATGACTCCTACCATTAAACTGTGACATGTTTCAACAATCCTGCAAACTTTTTTCGTACAGAGAGTCGAACCTAAAACAGTTAGCCACACTGGAAATTTCAGATGGAATGGAGTCAAAAGCGGTCCCCGGTAAGAGTTAAAAAATTGTCACAGGTTAACGTTGTTTTTTTTTGGTCTATGATTGTTTATTTGAGCGACTATTTACTTGATGTGTGTTTTCTCGTTGTAGATGATCCTTCTCTAACACTAGGGGAACTCTTTCTATGTGGTGTTGGGGGAACACAACTGAGAAGGCACCTGGTCCATAAAATCAGGGCCTCACTGGAGATGTCTGATCAGGAGCCACCTCTTCTTTGGGTTGGATTTTTCAACCGGGCTGTTTACATCCTGATGGACCTAATGTATCCTAGTGACTTAAATAATCGTAATTGCCTGTTCTTTTTTTTTTGTTTTGTTTTTTCCCCGGTTTTTGTTTGAACTTGAGTTAGAAAGTACACCGAGACCCTATTTCTGCAACTACCATTGAGCATAAAAACTTTGTCGTTGAATCGGATGGTTTTACGTGAGATTATATCTTTTACTCCCACAAGCAAGTATAAATAATTTATCCCCGTGATACACCATGTCAAGTCGTAAAGTGATGAGAGGAAGGAATAGTATCAACCAGGTACTGTTGCTTTATTAAACACTAAGTCTCTCTGAGCTTAAATGCAAGGAATGTTTGGCGAACAGTAAGGAGACGTGAGAACGCTTTGAGATCTTGTTACGTGGTTTCCATGGGAGCTATTTTTTTCCAACACCGCCAGAGCTTATCTTAGATTCCATAGCATCAAGTGATTAGAGTATTTCCCCTCCCCCATGTCTCAAAAAGCCCCGCCACTTTTATTTGTGTTTTGCATTACGTTATTTTAACTTGACACAAATCCAACCATAGCTGGCCACTAAGGGAGAGCGTCATTTTCCCAGAATTTCTCCTCTCGCGGTGTCAGTATCTTCGCATTCAAGATTACGCGCATCTGATTTGCTATTGGTGTGACACCTGTCAGTCATCATGGCATTTCTTACTTGGCCAATCGTATTTGGCTTTGGGCGAAAATCACAAGGCATTAAGCTGCTTCCTGAAGGCTGCGAAGGGGATTGGTAAGGACGCTTTGGTAGTTATTATTTGCTGGGTGATCAAATCAAATGATGAAGTATTTTGGGATTATGATAGTTTTTCTTTACCTCGCTCTGTGATTGATCCAGACAATTCACGCCATGTCATGTAAACCGTTGGTTAACCCTATAAACTCTGGGGTTCGCACGGGCCCTGGAAAAAGATTAGAGGTCGTGGAAAGTCCTGGAAATCTGCTTAACTCAAACAATTGGGTTTCCAGAATTTGCGTTGTAAGAAATGTATGTTAACCTTGAGCAGAATTGATTTTGAAATCTAGGGAATGAAAGAGTTCAAGGATTTAAAATCAATCTGAGTCCTGGAAAAGTCCTTGAAATTTTTTTCTGAAAAAAGGGTACGAACCCTTCAACCCCATGAGTGACCAAGAGAGAGTTTCTCCCTACAGTATCAATACAATATCAAACAGATAAGTGATGACAAAAAATAAAGATATCAGTTTGGGAATCATTAGTTGATCCAAAACCAGATTCTCCCACTAACATCACAAGAATTGTATGGCAAATAGTGAGGAGAATTACTAATGAGATCTTGGGGTTGAAAAGGCTTACGACATTCAATCTAAAGGAGCTCTATGCTTGCGTAGTCTGTTAAGTGCGATTCATTCTGTTTCTATCACTGTTCACTTTAAGTTTTCTTGATTTTAGGTTCAATGGATGCCTTTGTGATGAAGGTTCTTCAAAGTGATTCCACCGATATTTCAACACTGCTCGTTTTATTTTACGTAAAGGTGAGGCAGATTAAAATTCACAGGCGAACAAGACGAAATTCTTCATGACGAAATTCAGGCGACTCAGAGGAACAATCACTGACACTCTACTTAACTCTGAGACGGAAACGAAAGCCTATCTTCCCAGAAGTTTACAGTGTGAATTGTCTCTCAAGAAATGCTATTTAACTTCTTTTTTGGAAGTTTCTTTCATCGACAAATGAATCTGAACGCTGCCCTCCATTATATTGCTTTTACTCACTATATTGAGGTTTACCTCGACGCAGACGTCTCGGAAAATAGACTTTCGTTCTACAGACGAGAGTCTACAAATAACTCCAGGGAATTGATAAATCCCAACTCCTGGACTAGGAACGTGTGTGTCTGTTCCCTAATGTTCACTTGTATTGTGTGACTGTTATCATTTCCTCTGTTTTCCGTGCAGGTGTTGAAACTGTTTGAGCAGTTTGATGCTCCCGACTATGTCATCCGTGTGGCTCATTTAGCGCTGGATTTCGCTTCACCTGATGATCCAAATATTGTGAGTGGATAACGCGATAAGGGGGGAGGGGTAGGCGGTGAAAGAAAATGTGGTAAAGCCGGCTAGGGCGCCGAGTCCAACTCCTCTTCAAAGTTGCCATTTAGCGATCTGAAATAGGAAAATAAACCAGGCTGACAGCTGGCCTTTTGGAGGTTCACGTGACATCTCAAGACTTGCTTTTGACAACTAAGGGAGAAGAGGCAAAAGTTTATGAAAGAAAACTTCAGAGTGCAATATTTACCCTAGTTTAACTTTAGACCATGAAGCGCAAGCGATTTTTTACAACTTGTTACATGACAGCAAACACAGGACGCTAAATAAACGACTATAGCTGTAAATTCAGTCGCCAAAATTTGTTCCTACTCTTGAACAAAACGGTCGTAGCTAGGAGAGGTGAGCCTTTGAGAGGTTAAAAACGGTTTCTATAACTCTGCCCGGACTATTACTTTACGTCATTCAGGGAGCTGAATATAACGCGCTCTGTGATTGGTCGTTTCTTATGAAGTATCCGAGCACAGAGGTGACACCAGCGTCGTGCGAAGTCGTTTACTTTCCTTCGTCATTCGTACACTCTTTTAAAACGATGTTTCCGATATTTTTCCGATGAGTTTACGATGATTTTCCGAGAATTTTCCAATAACTTTCTGATAATTTTCCGAAAGTTTAGCCATGGAAGACTTTAAAAATATGCTTGGCGCCTTTTTACAGGTGCGAAAAAACAAATGCGCAATAGGAACACCTACCTCGAACAGTGGAGCACTATGAGGCTACTCGTAATTTTTGTTCCTTTTTTTCTTTTCTTCATTGTACAAGTGTATGGCAGAGTGGAGTAATTTTTGTTAATTATGTTATCTCTCCTTAATTATTCCAGCCCGACTTGTGGTCAAAAATTTTTAAACATCATCTGGAGTTGCGCCATAATGACCTGGCATATGAAGCTTTGACCGCTAACCCTGACCCTGTTAGGTAAGTAATTTTCCCATCTCTTTTCTTAGTTTTCTTTTCCTTTTTATTCGTTTATCTTCTTTGTAAGTAGTCGTTCGCAGTTTTGGCTCTTTGCTTCTCATTGTGCAGTGAACGTCGATTTAGGCTGCTATCGTCCGCTTTTGAGTGCTCCTGTCCGATTTCGGACTCTTCGGTCTGATTTTAGACGCTGTCGTTATATTTTGGACGCCCATATCCTATTACAGCATCTCCGTCAGATTTTGAACGCTATCGGCTGTTTTTGAACGCTTCCGTTCGTTTTAATTGTGAGAATGTGGAATTTTATCATTCTACTTTTCTTGACTTTTTTCAGGCGGCGTGTATGCCTTCATAAGCTCATGGTAACACTGTACGAGGGAGGTCAAACTCAGGAGCTTGTAGAGTATCCATTTGTCAACCTTCAAAATGAGGTGAATATTAACGTTATGATTAAAGACAAACCTGTTAGACAGGTGAGAGCGCAAGTGCGAGAAAAGCGCGAGGAAGGCGCGAGGAAAATGCAAAGGGCGAGTCGCGCGTGTGTCTAACCCCGTACGTTCGCCTCACGCTTGCTTTCGCTCGCCTGAGAAACGCGTTGAAACTGATTGTTAGTTTTTCCTTTGATGTTCTGGCCTGTAAGACTCAACTGGCGTAACTCGGTCTTGATATTTCATTTCGATCCGTTGGTAAAGTTGGTTCGTTCTGCTCGGTTCGCTTTGCGTGGTGCTGGTAGTTTTTTAAATTTGTTTAGAGGAACCTTATATGGTACACGGTTCATACATGATTAGAATAAAGCGTTCGGCGTTGAGAAAACTTTTCTGTAACTGTTTTGTTCTGTGTTTTTTTTAGTTTATAGACATCATCGAGTCTCATGCCCGTACAGTGGACATAACTACTCACAGCTTTTACGATCTACTCTATGCTTTTCACGTGTTCAGAGGAAACTACAGAAAAGGTGACAACCAAAACTTATCACAACAGCCAATCAGAACTAAGGAGGGTGTCATGAAGAGCCAATGAGAACTCAGAGAAATGAGCACAAGTCGCTTCAAGCGCGGGAAAACGCGAGTGAACAGTTGGCTTAAGCTTAGGGTCTGATTGGTCAAAATTGTGGTGCGAATGTTTTTTTGAACCAATGAGAAAGCATAGTAGAGGGGAACTTATGCAGACAGGGAATACTATCAAGACTCTATGAAAAAAACCGCACTTTACTTTACATAACTGTTTATTTTTGACAATGTTTGGTTAATGAGAAGAAGTGGGTGTAGTACATCTTCCAAAGGCAGGATGACGATATAAACAAATACACAGAGTAATGAAGCAAATACAAAGTGATGTAATTTGTTGTAGATTACTGTGTTGGATCTTTTTTCTCCAGCTGGGGCAGCAATGTATGAACACGCCTTGCGACTTGGACAAGAAGTTTCAGGGCTCGACAGTCTGCAAAAACAGGTTTGTTTCTTTGATATTTTTGCAGTAAAGCTCATCAACGACCTTGGTAGCTCACTAATCAATTTGCAAGGAAATGAAAAACTTAGCGCACACTTAAAATTCCTACACGTACCTCTACGCTGAGAAACATCTATTTCCGATTTACTTTCAGGCAAAATGTTATTTAGCAGCTATGAACTCACTCCGTCTCGTCGAGCCGAAAAATGCCTGGATTGTAAAACCTCTGGACAGAATAGGCACCGATGTAAGTTACATATTTTTGCTTCAAAACAGTACCACACATTACATTAAATTACAGCTCTGTAGCTTTCATTTGACCGCTTGCATTGGGGTCTCATAAACAGACTTAGGAAAAGGTTCGAAACACCTCGTACAGCATGATAAACAGTACCACATGAGAGTACTGCTTAGTAGATATCATTTGAATGATCACTCACCTGGGTTTCATCTATAGACGTAAAAGCTACAACACCCATCCAAAGAAAAACGGAGTAATCAGTTTCCTCTTTCACCAAACGGGATATTGCTCATTTTTCAGAAACCAGCGGAGCCGCCCAACATGTCACCTAAACGAAAGCAGGGAGAAGAAGGAGAGGTACTCTACCCAAGTAATCTGGCCAGGCCTCGGCGTAAAGTGACCGTGTTAGACATCAGGGACCTGGAGGGAGAGTATCTATTGGTTCTCGCCAGGCTGCAGCTCATTAAAATGGACGCAGATCCAACTCGTGCAATAGGTTTGATACGTCAGACATGTAGCTCTCTGCTCTGATTCTCTAATTGGTGTAGTGCCGTTACCATGGCAATCTTTTGACTTTCCTTTTCCTTTTTCCATTTTTTCTTTTTTCCGCTCGGTCTCAGGCCCTCAGTTGTCACCCCAGGAGAGCGTAGCGTTGTTGACTCAAGCAGGCTTGTTTGACAATGCCTTCACTGTAGCTTTCCACTTCAACTTGCCAAAAGAAACGATCTTCGAAGGACTTGCCTCAAGGTTAGAAAACATAAACATTAAAATGTTTCAAGGGGAGTCTCGACGATTTTGCGAGAGCTCAACGCGAGAGGGACTGGCACGAGACAGATCCACGAAAGGGGGAGTGCCATATTGGTCTCGACCCAACTCATCTCGTTCAAATGTCAATTATACATTTCCTCTCTCTCCTCGCTCGTTTGACGTTTCGAGAAAAGAGAAAATACTCACCAGTGATCTGGACAGGCTACCAAAATGAATACGTAACTAATATCTAGCATTTTAATTCTGTGTTAAACGTACCTTTCCTTTTTTCTATAACACTTCTGCTCTTTTAACTTCTAATGCGACTTTTTTGTCTTTGCAATAGGTGTGTCAAGTTATCTACCCATGGTCCTGGTCTAACACGGTGAGGAAATAACTATTGTAATGCCAATTCCTAAAAAGAAGGAATAACAACGACAAAATAGCCATCCGATGGATGTATTTCAGTTTTTAAAAATCTCAAAATTTTCTCTTATAGTACAGCTTACACTATTTTAGTTTTCACGTTGTTAATCCACGCTTTTACTACTCTTTGGTATCATTTCTTTGATTTTCATAGAAAAACCGAAGAGGACGCGTGGGACTGGCTCCTATCTAATGACCTCGGCGAAGCTCAGGTCTCTGGCTACAAGAGGTACGCGTTAATTTACTGGTGTCCAGACCCTTGTTTTGTATCGTGTATTTTATTTTCTTTGCCTTTTGGACCTTGTTTAAAGTAAGCAATGTTTGAGGCTATACTTTCCATGATTTTTTTTTATAGTGTTGTTGACCAGGCTTGGCAACTTTTGAAGTTGTACCTCGACAAGCTTGGTCCACGTGATGGTCACGTGTATTACAGATGTGTGACCAGTAAGCTGCTGTCAGCCGGGGCTACTCTGCCCACGTGGCTCGTGAATGATTATAAGGTGAGAGGACTTGTGGAAGTGGTCACGTGATCTAGACCTACGGTTTGAGGCTGTAAGAAATTTGTATGCGTTTATGCGAATGTTTGACGTTTTGTTAAATTTGGAAACCAAAAAAGTTATTTTTATTAGCTTTTGCGCCATGTAACTCAACATAATAAGCACTTAAGATTTCAGAAGAACATTGACAAGCGGTAAAAAGACGATAGAACGGATTTCATTTCGGCTTACTGGGCGAAAATCGACCCGACTTTTTTCAAGATTACAACAATTTGTTTGAAAGAGTTATTTGTAATGCTCAGAGGAAATTTCCCTAGTTTGTTGCCATTTGAGTGTCATTTTACCGATAAGACACTGTTACTCTGCTTATGTGCAGTTCAGAGCTTTTATTCAGCGGAAACGTTCATAACCATTAACACATAGGCGATCCTGTGATGTCTAATTTGCGTGAACTTTTGGCTAAGGGGCTGCAAGATGTCGTCAAGTTGTGTGACGTAACTTACTGATAGACACTCCAGATAAAACCATCCTTTATCAGTGGTCACTGTTTTTCAAAATTTCGAAATGTTTCTACTCTAGCGCTTTAATGCCACCGAACTGCTCCGTTTGTACATCAACTATGATCTTCTGTTGGAGGCTGTCATGTTGGCTGTTGAGTACATTGAAGCTGTTCTTGGAAAGGGCAAAGAATACTTTGGACTGACGGTGAGTTCACCTGTGAGCCGTGCCTTTAGTTATTTTTGATACTGATCACACTCAGACGAGTTAATCGATGTGAAAAGTTTATTTAGGATGAGTCAGCCAGTCTTGTAGAATATGCATCATAATATGATCCTAACATATGTACACTGAAAACTAAGGGCTCTACAAAAGAACCCGTGCTACTCCAGATACGAAAAACCACTAAAAAATCACTCTTCAGAAGTGACCAAAAAATATATGGAAACGTATTCCTCATCTAATGCAGCGGCACAATATCCCGAGGAAAGGGTAAACTAACCTGGTTACACTGCTTACCACAAAGAAAAATCAATGAATGTAAAGATCATTTATTCAATTAAAGCAACCCTCTCATAGATAATACCTATAAAGCCAACTGATTGCGTAAAGAGTGGTTTGGGTTAGTCCTCTTGTAAATAACCGGCCCCTAATCTTTAAAGTGGCAATTTAGGGCACTTTTTTCGAGTCTCCAGCGTATCCTTCAATGAAGGCCGCTATATAAACCCTTTTGTACTAATTACCTTCATTGAAAGAACAGGTGAATTGAAGCGACACTTTTTCTATTCTTGAATTTGTGCCCTCTATTTAAGTTCCATCGTATAATCTTTGTATCTATTACCTTCCTGAAAGGGACAACTTTTCTAATCCCGAGAGTGTCCTTTGAACGGTCATTCTACTGTATTAATACAGAAATCTTATTCGCAGGATGCCTTGCACGGCACCAGTCCCAGTGTGTGGGTTCCGTACGCTTCCCTGGATCAACTGCTGGTTCTGCTTAAGGACGTGCAACCTGATTCCGAGCTGGCTCAGGTAAGGTTCCTTAGCCCTTTGTGACCAGCATCTAATTTCTCCTTACAACATCACTCCCTGAATCAAACAATAGGGGCACGAGAATTAAGGAAATGATCAACAACTCTGAAGCACTGGATTGTTAAACAAATTCTTCATGTCAGCTTCTCGATGAAATGCATAGAGAACAGTTTAGAGAATATGCATGCTCATATTAGGGTGAAAAGTATGAAGACTGTTTTTTAGTTGAGTACTGTGCAAGCAAAAGTAAAGCTCTTACATAGGTCAATCAGAACAAAGGGAAATATCAGATGGAGCCAGAAAGGACTAGATAAAGTTAAACATTTGATTGGCTGAGAGGGTGGCACGTGTTTTCCAGGCCAGACATAGAATGAAATATTGCAAAACCAGTCCTTTTCCGTTGAACTTTGGACACTCCCGTGAAAATTGCCCTATTTTAGGGACGGTAATTCCTGTTGGGGTTATTTTATGAAGGTAAGCTTGGTTTGCTTTTCCCCACCATTATTCAATTTTCTAATCATTTGTTGGCGGTGTTCGTTGGGTGAAAACATGCCTCATTGCACAAGAATCGTAGCGAATTAATCATTCATTATTACAGGCACGTGATGAACTGAGAGAACTACTCGATGTGTTCCATGAGCAAGTGACATCTGTGTCACGTCATATGGTGCGTATGCAACTGAAGCGTGCTCAGCGGATGCACGCGGCGGAGTCCATTCCAATGCAATGATTACATCATGAAAATGGTAGAGACGTAGTTTTGCGTACAAGAGATCGAAAACACTTTCTGATAGAGGAAACTGATTGAAACTTCTACAAAGTCGAACCAGATCGAGTTGGAACGCTTAGTTTACTTCTAGTCTTCTCTACTCGATCGAATGTTTGCCCGAGAATTTTTTGAGTAAGGTAATTCAGTGCCTTAGAAAGCATGCTAGCTAACGCTAAGTCGGACGCGTTGCCGAGCAACAGAACATATCCAAACGGGTTCCATCAATCTACTGAATAAGATTCAGACTCATAAGAATACAAACGTTTCATGGATTTGTTACAAGAGACCATGAACTGAGAGAACTGATCCCTCA